ATCCATACACACACACACACACACATATATATATATATATCCACATCCATATATATATATAGCCAATGGACAAGCTGTATTGGTGAGTAGGTAAAGGAGTAGCCATAAGCCACCTGCAAAGGAGTGGGTCCTTTCCCTTGATGTGGCATCAGTGCCAGTCTGGGCTGCACAGCTGGACTCGGCCACATGTCCCTTAACAGTGACAGGCGCTGGGTGGCTGGGGTGCAGGGCAGCCTTCAGGGGGGCCACGTGGCTGAACTGCATGGCAGAGAGGCAGCCCGTGAAGCCCTGAGCACCGGCCAGCGCCGTCTCCTGGTCTACATCACTGTGTTCTAGAAATCCAAAAAAAGTCACAATATTAATAACAGTGCAAAGAGCAAATGGACAATGATGCAAGGGATGAGTATTAGAGTCTTCATGTAATAGCAACACATTTGCAGCTACTAAATTCCTTTTCCTTTGTCTTTATGAAAAGAGTCAGATCCATTAAGTCAGTCCACCACTATTGTCGAGATTGGTTAATGAAGGCAAATTTTTAAGTAGAGCTAATTAAAACTGATAGGGCTAACTCTCTGGAAATGATTAAAGGGTCCATAAAAAATGGGTCAGGCTGATGAGGGTTCATGCTATTTTACATTTTAAAACAGATCATTAAATGTACTTGTGGTAGGGTTTCTAGCCAATAGTAAAGAGGTTACCATGAAGTGCTTCCGAGAGATGGGAAGGAGTGAGCTTGGCTCAGCATCTCACACCTAAGCCACGAAGTAACAGAAACTGGGGGGAGGCCGCGAATGGGCTGAGTCTCCAGAGTGCCTTCCTCCATTGCCCAACGTGACAACCAGCTCTGACTGCAAGCTCTCTGATCCTGACCCTCCCCAAACATCCCAGGAGAACCCCATGATGTAGTAGGGCTCATGCTGTACAGTCATGAGGGTCTCTCCCTACTGACTCATGTACAGTAGTGAGAACTGTCACCCCTACTGCCCCATCCTTCTGTTTCAAGGACCCCACCCTGCTTTGAACCAGAGGTTGGTTAACATGGGGCTGCTGCAGTAACACATAATTTTACAGGGAAAAATATATCATGTGTGCTGGTTGCTTGGTGAGCATGAAGTCTAAACAAGGAGAATTCGTTCTCGAGTTTAAAATTCAAATGGGTCAGGCTAAGATGCACCAACGCACCCAATACGATCATAAAATGGCACATCTACCTCCCCTCGGTACTGCCAGTCTGTCGGCATACACAAAATCTAAATTCCTGTTTCTCTCAAAAGAAAAAAAAAAGGTACCAGGTATTTATTGAGTGTTTACTACGTGCAAATCATTGTGTGAAGGATTTGCCTCTGTTACTATTGAAACCTTACAGCCGCCACAAGAGGAACTTATCCCAGTTGTACGAGCAGGACTCTGCAGCTCAGAAGTGCAGTGGTTTGTCCAAAGCCACACAGTTGCTGACAGTGTGCGCGGGACCCAGGCCTGTTGGGCTCCAACCACCAGCTCCTTCCGGTCATCAGCTCCTCTCTGATTGACACATTATTTCCTTCGCTCTGCTTATAGCTTCTGCAGTGCCTTTTTTTTTTTTTTTTGGCTTGAGAGCTATTCTTTAAGTCACTCTGGGCATCTCCCATCTGATTGATTTTCTTGTTATAGCTAGGTTTTTGAAGGACAGTTCCTTTATTATTCCATTTTCATTCACATCATATTTCTAATAATAAAAATGCTGATGAAAAGTTTAGTACCATGAGTAGCATATCATTCTCCCTATAAAGCAAATGGGAAATTAGAGTAGTTACGTGGCTTTCCTACGGCCACACAGCTGGTGGTGGGGGAGTTGGTATTCAGACCCAGCCATTCTAACTCAGGAGGCCATGTTCTTGCCCCCAAGGCTATCCTGCCTTTCCACATGCCAGGTGGCAGTTCAAGCCAAGTCACAGCAACCTTACAGGAAGAGCAGAAATGCCCCAGAGGGTTTCTAAGGCTGGAGTGGCAGCAGAGGTTAAGCACTTGGCGGCTAACACAAAGATCAGCAGTTCAAACCTACCAGATACTCCACAGGAGCAAGATGTGAAAGTCTGCATGCATAAAGATCTACAGTGCTGGACACCCTATGGGGCAATTCTACTCCCTCCTGTAGGGCTGCTATGAGTGGCAATTGACTCAACAGCAGTGGGTTAATCTTTACAGAAGTCCTGTAGTGGCTGGTGGGTTGGAACCAGTGACCTTCTGGTTAACAGCTGAGATCTTTAATGACTGCACCACCAAGGTTCCTGACGTACAGAGGACTGAGGGAAAACACTGCTGCTCACAGTCGAGACCGTAAGCTCCTTGGAGGAATGGGTCACCCTCAACACCCAGCAGCATTCTGTTACATAAGAGATACTTCATCAATGGTACAGAGCCAAAGATCTAAGTAGTTCCACCAACACAGCAAGCACTCATCTACAGATGCATACTCAAACATATGTACTGTGGTGGTTATGTTTGTGTGTCAACTTGGCTGGGCCTGGTTGAGTGGCTGGGCAGCTGGATGCAGTATTCCCCATGATGAGACTGGCAATCAACTCCATGGTGGAATCTACTGTGAGCAGCTGTGTAGCTGCCTTTGGGATGTGGTCTGCTTCCTGTGTATAAAGAGAAGCCTTGGAAAATGGTCTCTAGCTTATGGAATGCTTAAACCCTGCATGTAGCCATGTCGTTGCTCAGCAGCCTGCCACACTCTGCCAACCTTGGGACTTAAAATGGACTTAAGTTAATGGCCTGCCATGTGCTTTGGTAACATCAGGCCTGTGCCTTTTTACTTGTCAACCTTGGGGCTTCTTAGCCTCAGCAGCCAGCAGCTGTGTGAGTAAAGAAATGTTGCTAGCTCCAGTGGGCCGGGAGCAGGAAGCAGAGCTGGACCCCAAGGTTGAGGGGCTTTCACCCAGCCCCTAGAGGTGGCACTTTGAACTTGGGTTTAAAGCCTCTGATTTGTAAGAATAAATTCCTGTTTGTTTAAGCCATCATCCCATTTGTGGTATATTCTTGTCAGAGCAGCACCAGGTAACCAGAACACTTACTTTCACGATTGCATTTATAGTATTTTAATAAAAAACAAAAAGGAAATATACTTTGATAGAAATGGTTTTCACATTTCTTCTGCAAGGCGAAAATGCTGAATAAAAATTTCTGCAGGTCTTTTAAGAAATCTTAGCTTTAAACCAAAAAAAAAAGAAAGAAAATAGACAACAGACAAGCTTCACTTCCCTGAAGGTCTGATATGAAGTGATTTGAAAAAGATGACATTTATGCACTGAAAGCATTTTACCTATTTGTAGAATTTTTTTTATGAAAATTGATTATTTTAAACTCTCAAACTTAAAATGGGCAGTGAGTCGGTCAATTAATACTTATTGTTTGAAGAGGTAGGGATACAGGACACAAATTTTCTGCAGTTCAAGAATCTCACACTGCTGGGGAGGAAGGCAGACAATAACCACAGAAACAGTAACAAGATGAGAACGCCAGGGAGCAAGAGTGCTGGGGAAACGGAATTGGACGACGTCACGGAGTGGGTCTGGAGCAGGAATTTCTCAATGAGTTAGGTGATTTTTCATGTTTACTCACAAGCCTGTTCTACTCCGTCATATGTTTTTGGCAGGTTCCCAATCAGAGACCCTATTGCAATAGAAGGGAACACTGACTGGCCCCGTGCCGCCTTCACCATTGTGGCCGTCTGAGCCCTGTTCGCAGCCACTGTGCCGGTCCGCCTCATTGAGGGTCTTCCCCTTTTGGCTGACCCTCTGCTTCACCAAGCATGACGTCCTTCTCCAGGGACTGGTCTCTCTCAATAACATGTCCAAAGGACATGAGAGGAAGTGTCGCTATCCTCAGTTCCGAGAAGCACTCTGGCTGTACTTCTCCCAAGAAAGATTTATTAATTCTTCCGGCTGGCCATGGTAAATTCAACCCTCTTTGCCAACACCATAATCCACAGGCATCAATTTTTATTCACTGCGCAGCTTTTGCATGTAATGAGGCAACTGAAAATACCATAACTTGGGTCAGGCCCACCTTAGTCTTCAAAGTGACGTCTTTACTCTTTGACACTTTAAAGAGGTCTTTTGCAGCAGATGTGCCCAGTGCACTACGTCATTTGATTTCCTGATGGCTGCTTCAGTGGATGTTGATTGTGGATCCAAGTAAAATGAGATCCTTGACAACTTCAGTCTTTTCTCTGTTTATCACGACATTGCTTTTGGGTCTAGTTTTGAGCATTGCTTTATGATGAAGTGTGGTCCCTGAATCAGAGTGGACTGCAGACACCACCACCCCCCTTCTCTTAGCAAGACCCTTGGGGGAGCCAACAGTTAATGTGCCCAGCTGCTAACCGAAGGCTGGAGGCTCGAGTCTACCCGAGGTGCCTCACAAGCACAGTCTGGTGATCTGATTCCAGAAAACTCCACCACTGAAAACTCAGTGCAGTGCAGCTCCACTCCAACACACACGGGTTTGCCACGAGACGGAGTTGTCTCCACAGCACCTCCTTTTCTTCATTCTCTCAGCAGTCTCAAGATATCATTCCAGCACCTTCTCATCTTGCTGCTCTATTACCTTTTTCCTAACTTTCCAAGATCTGAGTTTTTGGAATTTCACCCAATTATCCGTCAGTGTGAGTCTTTTCTCATTGACTCATAAAGAACTCGATGAGTCCCTCCATCCCACCACCCCTTATTTTCCCCCAAAAGTCCTTTCTTCTTTCATAATTAGGGATTTATAAAATTTCATCAAACAGTAAGATTCTTAAAATTCAACATATTAACAGCACTGATTTTTTTTCGTCTATTTTCTTTTTTCTTGTTGTGGAGAATACACGCAGCTGAACGGAAGCCAATGCAACAATCTCTACGTGTGACATTCAGTGACGTGGATTGCATTCTTCAGGGGGTGCACCTATTCTCACCTCCTTTTCCAAACTGTCCCTCCCCCATTAATATGAACTCACTGCCCTCTCCCTCTTTCCTCCTTAATCTTTCAAGTTGCTCTTGTCAATTTGATCCCATATAGTTCCTAAAAGTTGGTAAGCCCTTTTAATCTGCAGATAACATCTATTTTTCTTTTTTTCAACTTGGAAAATTTCATATATTGTGTGTGAAATGACTGTTCCACCTTTATATTTTTTTATTATTCTGGAATTCTAGTTATTCACAGTGAGTCTTCTCTATCTATTCTCTAAATCTATTTTATTTGCCCTCCTGAGTTCTAAGACTTATTTCTGTGTGGGTCAGAGTGCTTTAGCCACTTACTCTTCTAAGTGATGAATTTAAGTATTAGCAGCAATCTCTCCTTCCTGCTG